CCTGCTTTGGAGCAGACAGCTGGCACTGTAGAACTTGGGGGAAAGGTCTCATGGAAAAAACAGGTCCTATCTAAACTGAAATTCAAGCCAGTCTGATGGCGGAACGTGTTCTCACACATCCAGCAATGACGCCAATAACGGGGGCCACCAGCGTGGCTGCTGAGACCATCAATTAAGCGCCCGTGTGCCAGGCCCAGTGCGGGACATTTGTACCTTCATCCTGCTGTGAGGGTTAAAAATTCACTCACTGGGCTTCCCTGGTGGCGCAGTGGTTGGGAGTCCACCTGCCGATGCAGGGGACACGGGTTCGTGCCCCGGTCCGGGAAGATCCCACATGCCGTGGAGCGGCTGGGCCCGTGAGCCATGGCCGCTGAGCCTGTGCGTCTGGAGCTTGTGCTCCGCACCGGGAGAGGCCACAATAGTGAGAGGCCCGCGGACCGCAAAAAAAAAAAAAAACTCACTCACTGATAAACACCACCTTTCTGGATGTCACATTTATGCCAAAAGAAGAAACAGGGATCACCGAGGTGCCCTTACATCCCACAGGACAGGGTTACTTACACTTGAGGCTGGACCAGGAGGTACAGTAGCTCCAAATCTCTGCTCTTTTGTTCAGATCACTGAAATGCGGGTAAAAATCCAACCACAGAACAAGGGCACCTAAGAGACTAAGTGGCCCTTCTCAGCTTCCCCTGACTCATTTCTCTAGAACGCCACTGATGAGCCGCGTCAGAGGCTGGAGAGGAAGATGCGTAAGCCAGGAACCTAACAGCTGGCAGAAGAACATCTTCAAAAGCGATTAGGAATTAAAGTAAAAGCGACATCTGCCCTCAGATGTACATCTGTGCCATATGCATGGCTCTTTGTACTAACAGAATGTAAGCAAAGCTGTCTTACAGCACTAATGCTAAGGGGCAGGACCAGCAGCCTCCCTTCAGGTTGTGATGTCTGCAGGGATGCCTGGGAGGATGTGCACTGGAGCCACGGAACCTGTGTTCTGCCAGGTCGTGACACAACAGGCTCCCACCATACACGCTGCAAACACATCACCCCGACAAGCTGACCGTGGTGTCAGCAACCGGGAAGAAGGCAGTTCCTGGAGAAAAGGTGGCTCCACCACATCTGCCTCCAAAACAATTAAAAAGCAAAAACCAGCCACTACCCCCAAAGTTCTCTGGGTCCTAAATTCTTAAAGTCATCACAGACCAAACAGAAACCCAACCTCCAAATGACGGGCCCAGAATTTCAGAACCATTTCCGTGCTGCAGAGCCAGCAGCGCCTGCAAATGAGCTTTGCAACAAACAGAAAAAGTCTGTCTCGAAATGACATTTTGTAGGTAATGTACAAGTGGCTTCCTCTCTGCTGGATGTGCCCCCTTGCTCTCATTCTGTTCTCGCTAATGAGCGCCTTTTCCTCTCTCTTCCCCCTGCCTGTTTCAGTTTGAAACGTGGCACTGTGGCACCAAAGGAACAGGACATTGGAAAGGGAAAGGAGAGGGGAGGCGGCTTTCAAATCTGACACACACCCCACTGGCTGCCCACACCCTGAAGGCCGCTCCGGCCGGGCTCCACCTCAGACAGGCCTGAAGGACCAAAGTGTGGAGTAGAAATCCCCCTTGCACCACCTCTCCCCAGCAGAGTCAAGAAAAAGAAAGCTGGAAGGGAAGGAGGGGGGAAAATAAAGCTCCACATTCCTGACATTTTTTAGCCAAGTGCTGTGGCTGCACAGAACAGCTCTATTCCAAACAGCCCGCAGGATGGAAAGAAAATCTGGGCTCAGGGGGAAGAGCCTGCCCCTGGCCTCGGAAATGGGAGAAGGAACCTCAGGAGGGTTCAAAACTGAACCAAACGGAGGTGGGAGGGCAACCCTTTCATGTGTGTTCCCCAAAGGAAGTGATCCCAAGGGAAGGAACTTGGAGTCATCATCTCCCAGGCGACAGAGCTAAAGTCCTGGGGTTCCTGCGAGGGAACGAAATCCCCTCTGAACGCTGGTAAGCTGACCAGTGAGTTGGGGAAGGGGCGAGGCAGGGAAGAAGTGGAGACCAGTTAAGATGCAAGGGCCAGGCTGTGGCTGGCGGGGGTCGGGGGAGAGGGCCCCAGCTCATTGGCAGAGGCTGGGCAGGGGACCCCAGAGGGAGAAGCAGCCAGGAGACGAGCTCTTTGTGGGAAGAATTATAAATGAGTTTTCCTGATTCAGCTTCTGAATGAAGGCATCCTAGCCCTGCCCAAGTTAGAAACCCAAAAGCCTGCAGTCCTCTCTCCCTGCCTTCCCCTCCCCTTTCCATCTCCTTCCGTCCTCACTCCTAAGAAAAAGCGAGTTGTGTTAAGTGCTGGCCTACCCCCCACCATCTCCATCCCTACATACACACACATATACACACCACCCCTCCAGGGAAGAACCCAGATGACCCTGAGTGATAGCTAGTAAGTCCCTTGCTGGTTTACCTCCATTGTGAGGATGCCCACACGTGTTTCTCTGAGGTCCTGCTCTCATCTGGTAGGGAGAGCAGAGTTCCAGAAATCTGAGTCCCCCGCCCAGATACCTGTCTCTGTGGAGAGTCAGTTGGTAGGTACAGACAATGAAGACCTACTGTGTGCCTAGTGCAGCAGAACACACGTGATTCATAAGGGAGGTCTGGGCATGGCCCTCCTCCTCCCAGACCAGCCTGCACCGACCCACAACGTACCTCCAGTGCACCTTCCTGAGGAGACAACCTGTCCTGTACATACAGATGCTGTGGGGCTAAGGTTCTACCAGAAGAGGGTGGTGGGACAGGGAGCCATGAGGCAGGCATTTCAGCCCTGGCCCCTTCCACACTCCCCAGTCCAAACCCAAGAGGGGGAGGAGGGCAGGGCAGTTTTTTCGGGTTTTTTTCCCACCCCGGGCCTTCCTCTTGTCATGTACTGGGATTAAGGGCTCCTAGCACTTTCCACCTCCCATGGATGGCCAGGTTTAACCAACAGAACTTTCCACCAGACCAGAGGCAGCAAGGGAAGGAGGTACTGAGCTCAAATACTCGGCAGCTCTTTTTGAGCAAAGGTAAAAAAAAGCAGGTAGAGCCACCATCCTTAATGAAGAGAGACTCACCAGGTCTATGCAAGAGACGTCGCTGGCTATGAGGGCTACAGCTGTCACGTGTGTCTTTCTAACCACACCCTCCAAGTCTGGTGACAAGGCACTGGGAGGCCTCTTAGAATGGAGGACAGCAAGGAGACACTGAGAGCACTGGCTGGACCAAACAAATTTTCTCCTATCCCACTAAGCTATTATGATCAACAATAACAGGGTTTCAGGAGCAAACGACCTGCTTTCACATTGGTAGAACCTGTTATGGCCTTTGCTGCTCACATGATCTCAGTTAAACCTCACAATAACCCTGTGAGGAAGACAGGTTTTACTCATCTGTAATGATGGAGAAACTGAGGCTGCATCTGTTTTTTATTTCGTCAGATTAGTGACAGAGCAGGGACCGTGATACGGGGACCACCCTGGCTTGAGAAAGCCCTCGCCGCCGATACATCACGAGAGCTGTCGGGGTGGGTGAAAGGAGTAAAGGAGGCCTGCAGACCCTGAAGCCCCGCCAAGGACACATGCAGACATCCAACGCTGACTCGGCCACCACAAGAATGTCCCCAGCTTGAGGGCAGCTTCACTGACCAAGCAGGGCCCTCGTCATCCTTAGAGAGGAGATAGGGAACCCAGAGACAGAGGGACACAGAAGAGGTAATTAGCCACGCCAGGAATCTTCCATCTTCAAGGCAATTTACAGAGTTACAGCTTCCTAACCCATTCCTGAGAATGCAGATAAGCTGCCGACGAAGTGTCACTCACGTATCTGACCCTTGAGACAAGACAGACCACAGCAAGTCCTATACTCAGCGTTTGCCAGTTCTCCCCACTTGTGAATATCACATTTATATGGCTGTCGGGAGTAGGGAATCCTTCCCATCAGCCCCCTTGGATTCTGACCCCATTCGGGCTTACTAAAGCTCCCTGCTCTATGAGGCCTGCCCCAGCTGTCCTGAGCAGGACCCCGTCGTCACCCCCTACCCGAATAGCTTTGAGAGAATCACCTTTCCCCTAAAAGCAGAGGGTATCCCTGGCCCGCGCCTTGCTCCTGTCACAGGAGAAGCTCTGGGTCCACCACAAATGGATCTGAAGGAACAGTTCACAGAGTGAAACAGGGTTTATGAAAACTGGCCTTTTGGGCAAGAGCAAAAAAAAAGGGGGGGGGGGGGGGGGGCGGGAGGACGGGAGATGGAAGGCAAAATTTAAGAAAATAATTCCGTTCTTTTGGGAAAGAGAAAAAAAAAGGGGGGGGGGGGAGGGTGGCGGGAGGACGGCAGAAGTGCACTGCTGGGATGGGGCCAGGGCCACACGTGAACACCCCGAGTCTGGCCCAGAGCGGAGGATGCAAAAGACCCCGAAAATCAAGTGGGAGGAGGAAAAGGGCCGGGGTCCCTCCCACTGGAAAAGCCCAGAGGAGCTAGCAGCCACGGCTTGGGAAGGGGAGTTGTGCAATGACTGCGGGTCTGGGAGTCTCCGGGCTTGGCTCCCGGACACCAGAAAGGAACCCGCGCTGGGCGGGCCGGGTGGCAGCTCTGCGGTTGGTTCGAGGCCAGGCTGAGGATTCGGGGCTGCAGGGAGAGCTGCAGGGTACGGTAGGTGCCCAAAAGGGCGGCAGGGCAGGCGGGCACGGCGCGGAGCTGGCGGCGGTGTCTGGGCTGACTAGGAGGCCGAGGGGCGCACAGTGCACAAAGCCGGGGGTGCGGGGGGCCGACACGGCGGCCGGGCGCCCGGGCGCAGACGCGGACCCCGGAGACCCGCAGGGGGACGCCGGCGGCGCGCGCGAGGGACGCTCCCCGCCCCGCTGTCGCTCACCTCGAACATAAGCCCGATGAGGACGCAGAGCACCAGGCAGAAGCCGATGTCCGCATGGTTGTGGATGACGAACTCCTGGCTGAAGAGCGGGTAACTTTTCGTCCTCCGGCGGAAAGCCATGGCAGCGGGCGCGCACGGCCGGCGGGGCCCGCACCCGGCGCTCACCAGCCGCCGCGCAAACTTCTCGAGCCCAGGCCCACTCCGCCCGCCGGCCCGCCACCCTCTCGCCCTCCCGCCGCCGGCCCAGCGCCCAACAACTTCTGGGGCCCGCCCCCTTCCTCCGCCCGCCCCCGCCCCCGCCGTCCGGAACCGCCCCCGGCGCAGCCCCCTCGCCGCCCGCGGCCCGGACTCGGTGCGCCTGGCTCGTTCGGGCCCCGCCCCCCGCGCGCTTAACCCTTTCGCCGCCGGGGACTCGAGGGGGCGGAGCCGGGGCCGGGGCGGGGCCGGAGGGCGGTGCGCCAGGCTGGGCTCCCCTTGCCCGGCGCTCGCGCTCCGCCGCGTTCTCCCGGCCGGGAGCCGGCAGAGGGGCGCAAGGACGCACGGCCCTACCCGGACAGGAAGTGGGTCCGTGTTTCCCACTCCTCGGCGGCCGCTCCTTCCTCCGCGGGAAGGGAAGGGCCGCGGAGGCCGCGGGCTGGCCGCGGGGTGGGCAGCTCGGCTCGGTGCTTCTGGAGGTGCGGGCTGTGGCCCTGGGGGGCTGAGAGCAGCTCAGGTTCGGTGTCGGCCGGCATCCTCGTTGGCCACAGCGGCCTGCATGGATGATAATGAATGGACTGTTAACCAAGTATTCATTGAGAGCTAGAGAGGGTTAGGCACGGTTCAGATTGCTAGGAATATGCAGCAAAGACCCTGCCCTCGGGGAGCTTGCTTTCCAGTGGGCGGGAATGGATGGCTTGGTGTAGTTGTGCTCTCTTAACTTTTGAGAACTTTGTGCTACTATAAATTTGTTTTACACGTTTTACCCAAAGTCTACCTTCGATATTAATTGATCCGAAAAAGTGGAAGAATAAATACTGAAGAAGAAAAGAACTTTCTCATTGAAAGTTTCTGTTTAATATTAAGTTTTAAAAGTACTCGTAGAGGGCTTCCCTGGTGGTGCAGTGGTTGAGAATCCGCCTGCCAATTCAGGGGACGCAGGTTCAAGCCCTGGTCCTGGAAGATCCCGCGGAACAGCTGGGCCTCGGCCCGTGCGCCACGGCTGCTGAGCCTGCACTTTGGAGCTCCCGAGCCATAACTACTGAAGCCCGGGAGCCTGTAGCCTGACCTCTGCAACAAGAGAAGGCATCGCAATGAGGGGCCCGAGTGCCCGAACGAAGAGTGGCTCCCATTCTCTGCAGCTGGAGAAAGCCCGTGCACAGCGACGAAGATCCAATGTTGCCTAAAATAAATAAATTAAAATAAAATAAAACTGCTCATGGAGGACAAAAGGTATTTTTCATAAATTAAATTGGCAAATATTGGATTTAGTCCTACCAGTAATGAAGGAGTCAACTAATCACTTTCCAGAGGTACAAAATGAGAAAAGAACTATTTAATTCCTAGTCCTTTTTTTATTAGGTCGACAGCTATTTCACTTCTAAGTAAATACAATTTCTTAGAAATGGCACGGTGTATGAAATGTGATTGAGTCTGGACTTATCTGGAGTTCCGAGATAAATTTTCCATCTTAAGTTTCTTGACTCCAGTATTTAGTCTTTGGTCTTTAATTCCTTTATCTGACATAAGGAAATGAGAAAGTAATGCCTATATCGGACTAAAGCTAATTTAACTTCAAGACTGACCTTTCTTAAAGTTGGACCTTAATCTCATGAGGAATAGAAAGATCCAGAACTCTGGAACATCTCAATTTTCCATCTGTGAAAAGGTGTTCAAATCTTCAAACTGCAGCCATATCTATTAGGTTGAACCCTATGAAACTGACTTCTTTATGGGTCAAAACCAGAATACCAGCATTTCAGATGGTTCAACCTAATAGTTCCCTTGTGTTTCCACATGACCATTTGTAGAGGTTGTGGTGGTGGGAATTTCTTGCAAAGGTGGGATGTTGCTATCCCCTTAACATTAAGAGTTTAGTTGGAAAGTCCTGGGACATAGTTAGGTACTAGAACCTCCACATTTATAAATGAGAAACACGAAATAAAGGGGATGACTTAGGGCTCATACTGATGACCACCAACTCCAGACCCTTCCAAATATAACTGAACAACTAGACACGGGGTTCTTAGCTGTATGATTTAGTATTTCATTACCTTGAAACCCCAAGGAGAAAGTCCTAGATGCCTACTTCAGCCATCACAACCATCTCTTAAGTCCTAGTTTCAAGACCTTCAACCCCAAATGGATCTCTTCCCAACCTCTCTCATGCAATCGGTCATGGAGTCCCATGAATTCTTACCTCAGAATCTCTTCCACCAACTCTCACCTCCACCACTCTTCACGGGGCCCACACAAATTACCCATGGTTACACTGCCTCCAGTATCTCCCCCCTTCAACACATCTTTCCATTAGAAACATCTACTGAGCACCTACTAAGTGCCAGATGCTGTGCTAGTTACTGAAGACAAAGATAGGACAACCCCTGTTGGTGGTTTTAAAATATGTCCTCAAGTTCTTTGATATTCCAACCTTCAAGAGATAGCAATTAATCCCCCTCTTCCCCTTGAGTGTGGGCTGGATTTAGTGGCTCACTTTTAACAACTAGAATAAGTTACGGTGTGTGACTTCCAAGACTAGGTCATAAAGGCATTTTGTTTTTCTCCTTTCTCTCTTGTCTTGATCACTTGCTCTGGGGAAAGTGGGCTGCCATGTTGTGAGGATACTCAAGCAGCTTTAGGGAGATGTCCACATGGACAGGAACCAGGACCTCCAGCCAACAACCAGTGCTAACTTGCCAGGCTTCTGCATGAGCCATCTTGGAAGCAGATCCTCCAGCCTCGGTCAAGCTTTCAGATGACCACAGCCCTGCTGGCCTCTTGACTGCAACCTCATGAGAGAACCCCTAGCCAGAACCAGCCAAGTAGCCACTCCCAAATTCCTGACACACAGCAGCTGTGAGCTAATAAATATCTGCTTGGTGTCACTGGTTATGCAGCAAGAGGTATGCTGGAGCTTACAATCTATTAGAAGAGACAGAGACATTATTACAATTCAGTGTGATGATGGTGACTCTAAGAACAACTTGAAATACATACCCTATGAGTGCAAAGAAAAGGTAACTTAATTCTGTCTGGGGTATTGGGAAGAGGACATTTACAATGGACCTTTATCTGGTAGGATCTTACTGATAGAGAATTCAGGAGTGGGGTGGGAGATGAATTTTGGAGGCTTAAGATGGAGCTAGGTTGTAACAGGTTTCAAATGCCATGATAAAGAACTGTGACTTTCAGTGTATCATAAATACCTTACAATTTTATTTGTCAATTATACCTAAATAAAGCTGAAAAAAATTTTTTTTAAAGAATTCTGACTTTATTCTGCAAACAATGGGAATTTTTTAAGCAGGACCAAATTTGTCTTTAAAGAGAGAACCATCAGGAATGTGAAAGATTGTTTTGATTTAAAAAGAGTGGTATCTTGGGCTTCCCTGGTGGCGCAGTGGTTGAGAGTCCACCTGCCGATGCAGGGGACACGGGTTCATGCCGCAGAGCGGATGGGCCCGTGAGCCATGGCCGCTGAGCCTGCACGTCCGGAGCCTGTGCTCTGCGGCGGGAGAGGCCACAGCAGTGAGAGGCCCGCGTACCGAAGAAAAAAGAAAAAAAAGGTAAAAAGAGTGGCATCAGGAAGACCACTTGAGAAACTATTAGAACAGCCCAGTTAAAAACAAAACAAAACAAAACAAAACACTTCTCAAAGAATAGTGGCGATAAGAATAAAAGAGAGGTGAATTATTTCAGGGACAATTGTACAGGTTAATTAATTGGATTTGGTGATTGCTTTAATATATGGTGCATAGGAGTTGAAGGAGTCAAAACTTTAGGCTACGATGACATAAATGATGGTGGGACCATTAAAAAACATATATGGGGACTCCCCTGGTGGCACAGCGGTTAAGAATCTGCCTGCCAACGCAGGAGACATGGGTTCGAGCCCTGGTCTGGGGAGATCCCACATGCCATGGGGCAACTAAGGCCGTGTGCCACAGCTACTGAGCCTGTGCTCTACAGCCCGCAAGCCACAACTACTGAAGCCCTCGTGCCGAGTCCATGCTCCGCAACGAGAAGCCGCCACAATGAGAAGCCCGCGCACCACACGAAGGGTAGCCCCTGCTCTCCACAACTAGAAAAAGCTCACGTGAGGCAATGAAGACCCAACACAGCCAAAAATAAATAAATAAATATATATATTTTTTTAAAACCACGTATATGGAACAACAGAGAAAGAACAGTCATAAGTGAGGAGAAGCTGGCCTCAGCTTTGCACAAGCTGAGCCTGAGGAGTCTCAGGATGTTCAAATCGATGCTTTGACAGGTCAGCTGGAAACCACTGGACTGGATTAAGGGAGAGAAAGTCAGAATTAAAGGTATTTGTGCTTCATCTGCAAGGGGACTGTGGAAGCCATGAGGTTAACTAAGTGTTCCCAGGACAGTGTGCTGAGTGAGGAAAAGCCCGAGGTCAGCAGAATTTGAGGGACCCCCAACCCCGAGAAGCGGGGAGAAGGAAAAGGAAAGGGGGGCGGGTTGAGGAAGCCATAATGCAAGCATTTCACCAGGGCAGGTTAAACCAGGCAGGATAAGGGGACGAAGCCCCTAGGTGCTGGCATTATGGCCTTTGAGGGCCCACTCTTTTAAAAAAAATATTTTTTAATTGAAGTGGATTTACAATGTTTCAGGTGCACAGCAAAGTGATTCAGTTACATATATATATACATATATACTTTTTCAGATTATTTTCCATCATAGGTTATTACACGACATTGAATATAGTTCCCTGTCCCATACAGTAGGGCCTTGTTTTTTATCTATTTTATATATAGTAGCGTGTATCTGTTAATCCCACATCCCTAATATATCCCCCCTTTCCCCTTCAGTAACCGTAAGTTTGTTTTCTATATCTGTGAGTCTATTTCTGTTTTGTAAAGAAGTTCCTTTGTATCATTTTTTTAGATTCCACATATAAGTGATATTATATGATATTTGTCTTTCTCTGTCTGACTTACTTCACTCAGTATGATAATCTCTAGGTCCATTCATGTTGCCGCAAGTGGCATTATTTCATTCTTTTTTATGACTGAGTAATATTCCATTGTGTGTATATACAACATCTTCTTTATCCATTCATCTGTCGATGGACATTTAGGCTGCTTCCATGTCTTGGCTATTGTAAACAGCGCTGCAATGAACATTGGGGTGCATGTATCCTTTCGAACCATGTTTTTCTCCAGATATATGCCCAGGAGTGGGATTGCTGGATCATATGGTAACTCTATTTCTAGTTTTTTAAGGAACCTCCATACTGTTCTCCACAGTGGCTGTATCAATTTACATTCCCACCAACACTGTAGGAGAGTTCTGAGGGCCTACTCTTTTTTTTGTTTGTTTGTTTTTTTGTGGTACGCGGGCCTCTCACTGTTGTGGCCTCTCCCGTTGCGGAGCACAGGCTCCGGACACGCAGGCTCAGCGGCCATGGCTCACGGGCCCAGCCACTCTGCAGCATGTGGGATCTTCCCGGCCCGGGGCACGAACCCGTGTCGCTTGCATCGGCAGGTGGACTCTCAACCACTGCGCCACCAGGGAAGCCCTGAGGGCCCACTCTTAATTGGACA